TAAATAGAAAACAACATTAATCGGCTATAAACTAAATAAGCTCGTTTTATTGAAAAACGCAAACCAAACGTTAGTAAATATACCGCTGTATAGTTATATGTATTTTTTATCCCCCATTCCATCTTATCGCTCGCGGCTCAGTGGTTAGCGTGCCGTATTATGGATGCGAGATTCCGTGATTCGTACCCCTTACCGATCGTCCACAAAATAAAGCGCCCCGCACTTTCGGGCAATGAGCACGTTATTAATGCGATAATTAAATCATATTTCCCATTAGTCGGTTAGAGTAGCTCGCGAGTTGTCAACTGGAGATGTTGGCTAGCTGTTTTCCATTTGGTCTATCACTTCAGAATAAGGTACTGCTTGGCCAGATATCCCTCAAGTAGCTTGGCACGAAATTAAGTAAACATCACGGACTTTTCTACCTGATGAAGTCGAAACCGTTTTTACTTTCATCATATAACATTTGTTCACGTGCTCTGTTCTCAGAAATTCTGTTCGGGGGTATTTCACCTGATGAAACTTTTTTTTTGTCCGAATTTAAAGTTTTAAATGTTTTATTCGACAAAGTTCTTCATGAAATGTATTTGATATCACATATGATTTAAATGGTTATAAACAGAAAACTAAAAAAAACAAAGAACCGTTTGACATCAGTGGAACATGTTACTGTCTGCAAATACAGAACTACGTGATTTTACAGTCTTTAAGAACACATCTGTGATAGAGTTTTTTACTATCTGGAAACAAGGCTATGAAGAAATTACTACTTTATGTCTCTACACAAAATTATGGTATACAAAAAAGTCTACCTATTTGTAAATGCAACTCTCAAAACAAAATAACTGTTTTATAATATTTTCTGTACAATATCAATGTCTATTATAGCTATCTGGGAAAGTATTTATTCGATAGTCTTGACTATTTTTGAATGGACATTCTATGAAAGATCGGAAAGGAGGTCGTTTTGAATAGAATCATACCTGTAAAAAAAAACCTATAAAACAATAGCTTTTTAGTGTTACAGTACTTTCCATTAATATAAAAGTAGTTCCGAAACAAATCTGTATACCATTCTTAAAGGTGCTGAGACCGGATGGGTAAAAATGTTTCTCAAAAATTCTAGTCTAGTTTTTAGAACTAGTCATTCTTTAGACATATTATTTTACTTGAGGATTGAAAATTTACTTTTCTTCTGAATACATTTTTTATGCCAAGGTCCCAGGCATGCATATTAAAATATTTGTTTTGTTTTCTTAATGAAATATTAGCTTTCTTTGCTTCTCTTAATATATATTACGAAATTTAGAAAACAATCTATCAATCTATCTAAACTGAAACCTAATTGTTGATAAGTAATGATAAAAATCGTTTCCATTATTCAGTAGATACGTTTTTAGTTTGATTATTTGGGTTTTTAGTGCAAAGATAATGGGTTAAAGGAGTTTTATCCATTGAGGAGAATCGAACCTAGGATTTTAGCATTGTGAGGCTGCAAACTTACCGATACGCTACTCCTAATAATTTTATTTTAAAATAGTGAAAAAAAATCCTTACATCTGTTAAAAAAAATTGTTACAGTGGAAATTGTGGTGTTGGAAAAGTGGGCATAATCATGGCCATCAGACAGAGCACAATCAAACAATCAACGAGGCCAGAAGTAACTCTGAGTACATCGTTCTCGTAAAGTGTAATTAAACGCTTATTATGTCGAATTCTGTTAGTCAAGCAAACGTACTCACTACTTAGAACTGTAAAGAATCCAATGTTGTCAACAGTGAATACGTTTTTTAATGAGGGGTTATTGTAAAGAGAGAGTGTCTTACGCTTTAGTTAGTCTCTCAAGAAACATGCACTCCTGGTGTTTGGTTATGAGGACGGGGGAAGTCGCGAGTCACTGGACTTGAAACGTGTGAATACTAACTACACTTCAGTAGCAACACTACCCCGGACTTCAGTGGCTCAGAAGCGAGATTTAATACCTTTTAAGATTAAAATTCGAGTGTTAATACTTACGGTGACCGCAGTGCAAATATCACATTTTACATCTTTGTGCTTAAAATAAACAAACAATCACACAAAACAGTATTTAACGTTTCGTGAGATATCTAATGAAGGAAACGATTTTATGAATTTCGGGTTCAATATTTTAATGATTACCAAAAAGAAAAGATTTATCTTTCGCAAGCAATTTTTTTTAGTTCACGTCCCTCTTTATTTGTTTTTCATGAGTGTCAAATTAGACGTGTGCAAAAATGGCATTTCAATCTATCTTTTGTTTACCATAAGTCACTGGCCAAAGGATTTTCGAGCAATATCAGAACTTATCAGATGGACTGTTTTGGATTTTTGTACATGTATTTAAAATGTTCGCGCAAGACATACAAGACCTATTTGCACACAGCCCTCCGAAATTTTGAACTGAAAGACTAGAGAGAAGGTTTGTTTGTTTGTTTAGAATTTCGCGCAAAGCTACACTAGGGCTATTTGCGCTAGCTGTCCATCATTTAGCACTGAAAGACTAGAGGGAAGGTAGCTAGTCATCACTACCCACCGCCAACTCTTGGGCTACTCTATTACCAACGAATTGTTGGATTGAACGTTACATTATACCACTCCCACGGCTGAAAGAGCGAACATGTTTGGTGGGACGGGAATTCGAACCCGCGACTCTCAGATTGCGAGTCAAGCGCACTGACCATCTGGCCATGCCGGGACCTAGAAAGAAGGCAGCTAGTCATCAGCACCAACTGTCAACTCTTGGACTACATTTGTCTGACGTAATAGTGAGATGTGACCCCCACTTTTATAGAGCACCCACGTCCCCAAAGAACGGAGCTAGTTTTCGTGACAAGAAAACTCGAACCATAAATCCTCGTATTCACAGACACGCTAACAACTGGGCCGCGTCCAGTCCTTAAAACCAGAGTAGAATAGAATAATTGGAAACAATTTAACCTTTTGTCCATATAACTTTTTGTTTGCTTGTTTGTTGTTTAGCACGAAGCTATACATTAAACTATCTTTACTGTGCCCACCGTGGCTCTCGAAACCAGATGCCCCGCAGTGGTAAGTTTACGGGTTTACGACGCTAAAACTCGGGGTTCGATTTCCCGCGGTGGACAAAACAACTAACTCAATGTGGCTTTGCTCTAAAACAAACAAACAATCCAAAATTTTAAACTTTTGTTCTATGGTAAAGGTCCACATATAATTGTTGTTAAAGTGAAATTATTATCATCTTGACTATGCATATCTCAGTCAACCAGACCACTTACGGTTTGTTTGTTTGTTGTAATTAAGCACAAAGCTACACAATGGGCTATCTGTGCTCTGCCCACCACGGGTATCGAAACCCGTTGTAAGTCGGCAGATATTCCGCTGTGCCACTGGGGGGCACCACTTACGGTATTTCACCTCTGAGGAGCACTAATCCGATATTTATTCAACACTGTTTTAAGTTTTACAAAATATACACTGTCGTATGAGGAATATAGCGGTGTTCGTCAACCTAAAGCTGGAAATAACTGGAGGAGGTACAATGACTATCTTTTTCTTTTGGTAGATAGAGTAACTTCGTTATCAAACTTTGTCCGAGGTTATGGTGTTATTGTAACACTATATCTATAGGAATTATTGCGAAGCCAGTAATTCTACGGAACTATAAAGACAACCAGCAGATTTTTTTGTCAAGATTGTGCATTTCTTAAGAGACAATTGTCAGAAGCATCAGGTTCAAAGCTTACTTGTAAGTGTAAGGAAGCAAAATGCTCGAGGTACTACTAGTGCAGCAGATGTGGATGCGATCATGACAGTATACTCGTTGAGGAGAAAACAAATCGTAAAATAAGTAAGAGAATAGCTTCTGTTGGTGACAATAAAAATGCCAAACAGCCAAAGAGAAGTACATCTACTTAAAACCAGAAAGGTGAAAGTGGTTAAGGTTGTAGAGATCGAAAACCACTACGACTACTATATCCCTAGGAAGAGTTACAGCATAAAAATATTCTTAAAAGCAAGCCACATATCTCTATATTTTATTCCAAATTCTCCGGATTTACGGATCTCGTGTGGGTCCTTTTGTGTCACAAAAGTAATTACACAATTTATTCTTTTGATTCAAATTTTTATTGCTAAATATAATGTAGTTAGAGAGTTGTTATTGTAACTCTAAAGGTAGCTATATGGAGAAAAATATGGTTTCGTTTGTTTGTTTTTAATTATGCTTAAAGCTACATAAGGGCTATCTGTGCTCTTCCCACCACTTCCCGGTATCGAAACCCGGTTTCTAGCGTTGTAAGTCCGCAGACATACCGCTGCGCCACTGGGGGGTGGGGGCTTAAGGACATTTTTGATTGTTTGTTTGTTTTAGAGCAAAGCCACATTGGGTTAGTTGTTTTGTCCACCGCGGGAAATCGAACCCCGAGTTTTAGCGTTGTAAACCCGTAAACTTACCACTGTCCCACTGGGGGGCATCTGGTTTTGAGAGCCGCGGTGGGCAGAGCAAAGATAGCTTAATGTATAACTTCGTGGTAAACAACAAACAAGCAAACAAAAAGTTATATGGACAAAAGGTTAAATTGTTTCCAATTATTCTATTCTACCCTGGTTTTAAGGACTGGACGCGGCCCAGTTGTTAGCGTGTCTGAACTGTGAATACGAGGATTTATGGTTCGAGTCTCCTTGTCACGAAAACTAGCTCCGTTTGGAAAGAACAATTTTAGAATCCATTTTCTAAATACAACATCATGGAAGAACTGAGAATCCCTGTGCCTAATTTCAAGTTTCCGCTAGTAGCAAACAGTAAATATTGTCAGGGATATTAGAATTACATTTCTTTATACACATTGTTAATGTTCCAATGTTTTTAATTGTTTGTTGTAACTCACTTTCTGAAATAAGTTTCCAAGAAGTTCTTGTCTCATGTTTCCTTTACACCCCCATGACGAATGCTTTAGTCGACCTGCCCAAACATTTATCGATCTGATTTGTTTCGAAGATGTGAACGAGCTGAGCAAGCGCATCCTGACGCTAGACTGGTTCCTTCTTCTTCACGGCCACCACTGAGCTCTTCTACAACTTCGAAAATCATGTGACGGTATATGACTTTTTTGAGAGAGCAATGGCTGATCTAAATGTTTACTCTCATATTTCGAAAATTTCAAGGGCCTAACCCAAACATAGTGACTTCTGATCTTTAAGTCGATACCAGGAGAGATGAAGTCCAAATAGGGTACGTACACAATTTTCATCTAAACGATCTTGTTATTAGGACAATAAAGATCTTGAGAAATCAGGTTGACAAAGTCTGTGTGTTGAGAAAGTAAAATGAAAAGTCAAAACGGATTTTAATTTAGATAGTTCCTCTTCCTACTAGTATTGTTTGCTCATACTCAAGAAAAAAATAACATATAAGCTTTGAAAACGTGTACTACTGATATCAACTTTAAATTATTATATATTCTTTTGTATGTGGTAAATAGTTATCTGTTTCAATGGTGTTAGTCAGAAGAGAAGATAGTTTGAAGTCATTTCAATAAAAATAATTTTTCGAATGCTCCTTCTTGGGTGCTTCAGTGAAACAACGCGCATAAAGGCATTACAATATTTTATAAAGTTAGCTCCGATACATAAAAATAATTATTTTATCTTTTTTAAACATTAAACATGAATATACATATATATATATATATATATTGTATAAGAATTTGTTGTAACATAAGAGTATAAAATGAAAGTTCAAGTACTTGACAATCAAAGATTTACAATGAATCCCTAACTTCGCACGGTTACCAGCAAATTCCTATACAGACTCGCTTATTAATAAAAAGTTGGTTGTCCCAAAAATATCCGAGCTCTTGTCTTAGTTATGGATAGCAAAATTATGTTCTTTTGATCGTATTTGATCATACTTTACTTAAATAACAGTTTACTTACATAACGTAGTATGCAGGTCTTATGTTAAATATGCAGAAACTGTAAAGTTTACAAGGATGGAACAAGTTTGGTTTTGTTTGTAATTAAGCACAAAGCTACACAATGGGCTATCCGTGGTCTGCCCACCACGGGTATCGAAACCCGGTTTCTAGCGTTGCAAGTCCGCAGACATACCGCTGTACCACTGGGGGGGGGGGCATCGAGAACAGCATAAACATACTTGAAATAGTATTTTCTTTTTTCTCTTACACCCAACCTTCGAATATGCCTGGCTTTCTAGCCATTAGCATTTTAGTTCACATTAAGTTATAAAATCTATGCTATTATTCTGCTTGTTTGTATGTACGACCGTTACGCTTTCTGACCGAGAACCTGTTAGCATAATCATGCGTAGTTAGAATGTTTCCTCAAGAAAAACCGCGCATGCGCATT